GAGAATTGATGCCAAGTGAGAGGGATTTTGTAGCAGTCAGATAGGGAATAGTAGTGTATAATAACACTAACATTTCAAAGAAGTTCTGAGCATGTACCGATTTCCTTTTGGAAGTCGATACGATTGTACACCCAAAGTTTGAAAGGTTTTCATTTGATATAAATTAGGATCAATTTTACATTCTTTCCAGATGTGTCCAGTAGTTGCTATGGGGATGGTGTTACATTGTTACTTTAAATCAATAATGCATATTAGTTTTAGGGGATCAATGTTTCATACCCTGATGGTTAGGGAAAAGATTCATCTTGATCTTTAAAGATGCCTTTCCATAAATCATCTTCCATTATAAATATCGGAATTAATTGCCAGTTAATCCCTGAAGAAGATAATATGAAGACTGCTCTTTGAAATTTCAAGACACTTTTTTTAAACAAATAAATCAATTAGTACCTTCTTAAGTGGACTCAACAACTACAACTTGCACTTATATAGCGCCCTTCACATGGGTAGCATCGTGAAGGGCTTAACAGTGATGGAGCTTGATGCCAGGAGAGAGACTCGGCAAAAATAAACAAGTTTCCAGACAGTTATAATAATAAAACTATCCTTGCATTTGATATAGCGCATTATCATGTCGTTGAGATGTCTCAAAGCGCTTCACAGGATATATTGTAAAGTGGATTGATTGTATTTTATGGGCAAACGTGGCAGCCAATTGGGCATAGCAGTGTATCACAAGAGGTGTGGGTTGAATTTGGGGAGGGTTAGTACCCCCGTAAAGCGAACCACCTATCGACTGACACAGTTAAGTGGTTATCCATAACACCACATTCCCAGCAGCTTGAAATGGGATATTTGATTTCATGAAAGCTTATAATAATTCCTGTGTTTACCTTTCACATTTGAAGGACCTATCAAAGCGCTTCACAGAATTTTATGGTAAAATGGAATACCTATGTGATTTGTATGCGAACTTGGCAGCCAATTTGCATTGCAGCTATTTCCCACATGAAGTGAAACTTCAGCGAAGTTTTTTAGATATTGAAAGATCTTTTAATGTCATGCCCCATGCTCTTGCCATGTCCCATGCTTGCCCCATGCTCTTCCATTTATATGTCCACTACCTAAGTGACTGTCTTTCTTTTAAACACCCCTATTGATTTTGATTCAACATCTCTCTGTAAGGCAGAGCAATTTGACATCTTCAAAACCCTTTACGTAAAGAATGTTTCCTGACCTCAGTTCTAACCACCTTGGTTCTAATTTTAAGATGTACCCCCTTGTAACAGATCCATCTCTACCGATCTGTCAGTTCATTTAATTATTATAAGTATCTCATTGCAATCACCCTTTAACCTCCTCTGATCTGATGATTATAACCCCAGTTTACCCAGCCTCTCATCAAAGCCAAGCCCAATTAGTCTAGTGGATTAGTCCATTGGGAAGTCTGTTTATTACTTTTTTTTAATAGAGTGGTACCGTGGACTCTTAAGCATTTTTCATGGTTCCAGCTTCTTTGTTAACACCCAATTGGCACCATTAGCCTGCTTTTTGGAACTATCATTAATGGTTAGGTTTTATTTCCATAAAATGGGATCTGCAAAACCTATCTAAATAGATTTTTTTTAAATAAAAGTGAGAATATCAAAGCTGGCCATACTTGTAAACCGAAACCTCAGACTTGCCAAGTTTCCTTACATTTGATATAATAGTAATAATAAACTTACATTTTTAATGAGAATAATCCTTACATTTGATATTGTACCTTATAATATTGTCAAAATGTCTCAAAGTACTTCACATGATTTGCTGTAAAGTGTAAGGACTTTATTTTTAGGCAATTGTTGAAATGAGATACAGACATTTCGGTTGAAAACAACTACAACCTTTTTGCGCATGCCATGTATAAAATAAATGCAGCTCTCGTATTTTAAAAATGGGTTTTGCAATCTGACTCATTCTTTTTTAAATTGTGAATTGAACTCCCAATGTTCTCCTGCATTTGTCAGCTCTGCAAACGAGTCTTAATCCCAGTAAGCAGATCTGATAGGAAAACCTCTCATTCATTTGTGTTTAAAAATTATCTCCTTCCAAAAAATAAACGTAGCTTGATGTGTCTAAATGGGACTGTAACTTGTCTTGCTTCTATTTTGCTCATCAATCTCACTCCTTTGCATTTCCCTGATCTGGACGGCACTCGGGGTGGGGGGGGAATGAGTAGCTTTCAATCATAATTAACTGAACTGCCAAGTTGCAGACGTTTGAGGCAAAGTTCATCTGTTTGGGTTTAATTTAGTGGGGGAAAAACACAATTTAATGCATCTAGATCATTTTATCTCTTAAAAAATAAAATCCACAACACTAATTGTTTTAACCAGACCAATATTTTGGGGGGAATGCCCAAGCATATTCCCAAATGTAGAAAAGTCTATCCTTTCTTTGGAAGCTGATTTATTTTAATAACTGGACAAAACTAAACAAATTAAGGTTGAATTGAAAATTATTCTTTGCAACTGACCGCAGTTTGTCAAAACTATGAGAGCAGCAAGCTGCAGTGTTGCCAGAAGTTAAAATTTGTTTGTAGCCCAAAGTCAACCAAATACTAGCCCCCAAAGTAGGCCAATATTATGCCTTGCCTCTTATGGGTAGCAGAGCAACCAATTTAGGCTTGTGCTTCTGAAATTGTGTAAAAGATTTTCAAGTGGGTGAGGGGTGGGGGACATGCTTTCCAGGTTTAAATTGAAAAAATTAAATTAGGCACCCGCCCAAAGCCGTTGTTGCACGCACAGTAACAAAAAACACGTACAATTTGGCATGAAACCCCTCCCAATCTGGCAACATTGGGACTCCTTGCTACGTCCTCCCAACGTGAAAGGTGCTATGCAAATGTAATCTTGTTGTCGTAGTGGTTCGCGCGCTCGCCTTGCAAGTGCGAGGACGCGGGTTCGATTCCCAAGAAGGGAGAAACCTTGGGCATGTTTCCTGATTCCAAACACCTCTGTTCACCTAGCAGTAAGTAGGAACCCGGTTGTTAGTGGATTGGCGGATCGCTTTCTGAGAGTATTAATCCACGAAAAAAAATCTGGTCATCAATATCCACGACTGTTTGTGGGACACTGCTGTGTGCAACGGGCTGCAGCATTTCTCAGCGCAAAATATACAGTCAATCCACTTTACAATATATCCTACGAAGCACTTTGAGACGTCTCAACGACCTGATATATCAAATGTAAGGATTATTATTGCCTGGCAGGGAGGCAGTCTGACAGGGAGGGAGGCTGGCAGAGAGGGAGGGAGGCAGTCTGGCAGGCAGGGAGGGAGGCTGGCAGGGAGGGAGGGAGGGAGGCTGGCAGGGAGGGAGGCAGGGAGGCAAGGAGGGAGGGAGGGATGCAGGGAGGCTGGCAGGGAGCTGGCAGGGAGGGAGGCAGGGAGGCAGGCAGGGAGGGAGGCAGGGAGGCTGGCAGGGAGCCTGGCAGGGAGGGAGGCAGGGAGGCTGGCAGGGAGGGAGGGAGGCTGGCAGGGAGGCGGAGGGAGGGGCAGGGAGGGAGGGAGGGAGGCTGGCAGGGAGGGCAGGGAGGCTGGCAGGGAGGGAGGGAGGAGCTGGCAGGGGAGGCTGGCAGGGAGGGAGGGAGGCTGGCAGGGAGGGAGGGAGGCTGGCAGGGAGGGAGGGAGGCTGGCAGGGAGGGAGGGAGGCTGGCAGGCAGGGAGGGAGGCTGGCAGGGAGGCTGGCAGGGAGGGAGGGAGGGAGGGAGGGAGGGAGGCTGGCAGGGAGGGAGGGAGGGAGGGAGGGAGGCTGGGGCAGGGAGGGAGGCTGGCAGGGAGCCTGGCAGGGAGGGAGGGGGAGGGAGGGAGGCAGGCAGGGAGGGAGGCTGGCAGGGAGGGAGGCTGGTTGGCAGGGAGGGAGGCTGGTTGGCAGGGAGGGAGGGAGGCTGGCAGGGAGGGAGGGAGGGAGGCAGGGAGGGAGGGAGGGAGGGAGGCAGGCAGGGAGGGAGGGAGGGAGGCAGGGAGGGAGGGAGGGAGGCTGGCAGGAGGGAGGCAGGGAGGGGCAGGGAGGGAGGGAGGGAGGCTGGCAGGCAGGGAGGGAGGCAGGCAGGGAGGGAGGCTGGCAGGCAGGGAGGGAGGGAGGCAGGGAGGCTGGCAGGCAGGGAGGGAGGCAGGCAGGGAGGGAGGCTGGCAGGGAGGGAGGGAGGGAGCTGGCAGGGAGGGAGGGGGGGCTGGAGGGAGGGAGGGAGGGAGGCTGGCAGGGAGGGAGGGAGGGAGGCTGGCAGGGAGGGAGGGAGGGAGGCTGGCAGGGAGGGAGGGAGGGAGCTGGCAGGGAGGGAGGCTGGCAGGGAGGGAGGGAGCCTGGCAGGGAGGGAGGGAGGGAGGGAGAGAGGGAGACCGGCAGAGCACTGCTGCTGCTGGTGATGATAATGATGATACATTTCCGACGGACGATATTACGGGTTGCACCGGGTGGGCGGGCGGAAGTGGATTTCCCCCCCTCCCCCTTTCGGCCTCTCGCGCTCGGGGAGGCTGAGAGGAGCCGGGGGACGGTGTGAGCGGTGACACCGGGGACAGGAGAAGCCGAGTGACTGACTCATTTTCGCTGCAGCGCCGCCGCCGCCGTCGACGACGACCACCACCACCACCACCGGGGCCTCGCTCTCTCGCTCGGCGTGAGGAGAAACACGGTCAGGACAGCGAGCCCGAGCAGGGGGGAGACCCCCGACCTCTCCGACCGCCGCCGCCGCCGCCGAGAGAAAACCTCATCGAGAAGAAGAAGAAGAAGGAGGAGGAGGAGGTGTAGGGGGAGAAAAAAGCGTCCGTCTCTTTCTCGCGCGCGGTGACTTGACTCCCCGTTAATATCATTATTATTATTATTATTTGTTGCTGTTGTTGTTGTTTTTCGGGCCCTGCGGGGCTCCGCTCCTCGCCACCCTGGCTTTTCCTCTCGCCCCCCAGCGCCAGGAGCGATGAGTTTAACCTTCTCCTCCTTCTTGCCGCCGCCGCCGCCGCCGCTGCCGAGCACACGGACACGGACACGGACACCGCCGCGGTCGTTCTCGTCGCTGTTGTCGTCTTCGTCGGGGCCTCGGGAGGTTACATGGCGTCTGCCGCTGCCGCTGGGCGCTAGCGAGGAAGAATGAACCCGCTCTGCGCGCAGTATTTACGGTAAGAAAAGAAGAAGAAGAGGAGGGAGGGAGGGAGGGAGGGTGGAGGGGGAAGAAGAGATGGACTGGCTCGCCGTTAATGGCGGCCTCGGCGACGGTTGGAAGGAGCGCGCGGTGTGTGTGTGTGTGTGTGTGTATATATGTGTGTGTGTGTGTGTTGTTAGGGAGTGAAATAGCTTTTATTATTGTGGTTGGAGCCCGTAGGCCTGTCTCGCACCCTCTCCCTCCCTCCCTCCCTCCCTCCCTCCCCGCGCCCGACCGCAGTGCGTGTGTCTGTGTGCGCGGCGTCCGGGAGCCCCGCTCGGTTGCTTAGCGTCGCTTCTTCCTCGGATGCCAAATAGTGAGCCACCGCCAGCTGAACTCCCCCACTCCCTCCCTCCCCCCACACACACCACCACCACCGTGCGGAGACATGCATCCTGCTTCCTGCCAAATAGTGTCCGCTTTTTTTTTAGAGGGAGACCTGGTCGTGCTGGGGGTTTGTGTGTGATGCTAAGTGAGGAGGAGGGAGGGAGAGGACAGCACAGCGCAGGGCTTCCTGTTGCTGGCTTTGTGCACTATCATTTTCTTTTACCAGAAAACAAGAAACACCCACTCTACGCACCCGCAGGTTTCCAGTAACCCTCCTTCCTGCATGTGCTAAAATACTACAGGAAACCCTGTCTCCAATGCTATCTGTTACCTTGTCTGAGGGAGAGTGGTCCATCGCTTTCAGGGCCCATCCGGTCGGTCTCTCCCAATCTTGAAATTGCGCTCGCTGTGACCCGTTTTAACCTTGTAAGTTCCAAGCATTGATGGTTAGGATGATTCTAGCCGGACAAGCACCGGGAGAGCTTGGCGCTCTTTGAAGGGATGGAGCACGCTTTGTTTTACAGAGCAGACTTTAATTTTTGTGTATGCCAGCAGCAAAAAGCCACCTCACTCGTACTGAAGCTTTTGACAGCTGCAGTGTGATGTACTGCCCATGATTTACAGGGTTTTCACTGTTATAAGTAATATATTTCTATGGGAAACTCTTCGAAAGTTTGCGTAGGTCGTGACTCCCTTTATTTTCGTTCCTGCAGTAAATCTTTGTTTTAAAAAATTAAAATATCAAGATGTTTGAGTGGGTGTTGTATCAGTAATGTTGGTAATTTCACAAGCTGATAGAATATGGATCTGAATCTCATTTTACCAAATAGTGTGTTCCCTGTGTTCGGGAAGATGTGGAGGAGGAGTCAACTGAAAGGGAAGGGGGGAGAATTGTTGGAGGCAATTAGGTGGCTTTGAGCTGAAATTCTTTGCAGTGAATGGAGCCTAAAAAAAGGAAGAAAGATGAAACAGTTTTCCTAATTTTTTAAAGATAATCAGTAATGGAAAATGTTTTGGTGTCATTAATATTCACATCCCTACCTTCAGCATGAATTCTTTATTTATGCAAGTGTGTATTCTAGTCGGTAATCTTCACCATACTCCCCAGGCTAAATTTCTGGGGATGTCTAAAGGAATATAGTTTACTGTAAGGTCTATCGTTTACTGTTCACAAAATATTTTTTCTATTCAATTGTTTATGTTAATAGAAATTCCGGTAAAGTTCAAGGTATTGAGCCACAGAAAATAAACCGTTTTGAAGTTCATATAATACTGCAAATCATTGATTTTTAGAGTGTATTATTCCTGATCATCAGGTGTCACAAACCTGCTGCTTGTATACATATGGTACCCACAGCATAAAGGTAACACTGATACAGGAGACGCCAGTGTTTGATTAGCTGCTGTATTTGAGATGCAAGAATAATACCAAGCCATCTCTGGTTAAAAGCTTGTGCTGCTGTCAGATACCAACTCCTCTAGGACAAACATGACTGTGTCCGTTGCAGGTTTTGTTAACTGTTTCCAAAGGTATGATTAGTAAATGGAGTATACTTATAAATTTGGATTTAGGGGCCAGCAGTTTATTGTAGGCCCACTACCTGTGTCAGATGCTTTTGTCCTTTATCTTGGAGTCTGATATGTTTGAATTACCTTCTATCTGAACATGCTTGTAGCAGATATTTGTTCTGTTCTTGGCATAAATAATGAAATGCTGCTGAAGTATTCTAGTGTGAGGATAACGTTGGATTTCTTTTGATAAATAGTGTAATTTCTTATTGTACAACAACATTACATTTATATAGCGTCTTTCACGTCGGTAGGACGTCCTGTACAAGTTTACAATAAGTTTTGAGGAGATTAAAAATACAATAGTATGATTTGCTGTTTTCTGAAATTTGCAAATTGGGGGAGTGAGTCGTTTCCTGCTTTTGTGATTGACTGAGAAATATGAGGAATGGCAGTTTTTAATATTGTCATTGTATAGTTCGATTATTAGATGGTGTCACACCTATCGTCAGGAGCCTTCCTTTTAATAGGGAGGATGCCATTTGATATCTTTTGAAGAGTTTGTCTATCTAAATTCTGGTTCACAGGATTCTTTCAGTGAAGCTGTTAACAAGTTTGATTAGGCACTGAAATTTGACTATATTGAAACAAACTATTCCATATTTCATTTTCATTTATGATTGGATGCAATTTTGGTCCTGTATATTGGAGGTGCTTCAGTGAATAGGTAAAGTAAGCTTCTTGACTTGGCCCTAGGTCAGAAGGAAAACCTTTGGAAATTTATATCATCTTATGATACCTGAGTACTTCCAAAAAAAATTGGTTTGTCTATTTCAATTTAGTAGTACTCTTGTCTCTGAGTCAGAAAATTGTGGGTTCAAGCTCTGCCGTCTGGGTATTGATCTCATGATCTTTGCTGGATGTTGAGATGTTAAAATGACATCTGGTTTACCTGTTCAGGTGGAAGCTAAAGATCCCATGGCGTTTCGCCCACAAAATATACAATCAATTATTATTATCAATTCACTTTATAGTATATTCTGTGAAGTGCTTGGAGACATCTCGAAGGCACTATATCAAATGCAAGGATTATTATTTTTATGTCACTATTCAAAAAGAGAAGGTAGTTTTTTCCTGGTGTCCTGACCAAATAATTTGTTCATTCATTTCATGACTAGTTTTGGAGCATTGCTGTCTGCAAATTGGTTGCTGTGTTTGCCTACAAATACACAATGTAATTCATTTAAAAATTGCTGGATAAATATATTATACATAATAATAATATAATTTGGAATTGATTTAAAGTTATAGTAACGTAGTTGGAGATATAATTCATGGTCTGTCATTGGCAGTGCCTTAAGTAACTACGGACCCACCTGGCTCAGGAACCAGACTACTTAGATTACCACCAGTGATGAATTACAAAATTATGTTGCCAAGCATGGCATCTTGGAGCCATCTTAGCTCCAAGGAGGATAGTCACGAGTTGGTTATTTGACAACTGGCATGCGTAAGTTTGATCCTCACTAGGTGAAACAGCAGGTACCAGGAACTCCCTTTGAACATCTTGGTGAGCAATCAGCATGAAATATGTGTGAGGATTGCTGGACAAGCAGCGGGAAACTGACCAGACAGTGCTTTCAGTGGCAAGCTATTTGCTTTCAGCTGGTTGAATTCGAGCAGCACCCCAAGACATACTGGGGTCCCCAATCTTTGACTCTTGCCAAACTGTGTCTAATCGTCTAGACATGCTGTACTGTTGAAGTCAGTGAGATGTAATTTACAGACAGCAACCGGCCTGAATTAAAGAATAGACATGCAGCGATAGCTCGCTAGAGATACTGAAATTTTGTTTACTTTTGGGGTTTCGGAGAAGTTTTCAAAATTTAACCATCAGGTGATTTTATACTGCTGTCACACACTCAACAATTTTCTCTCTGACTCCTTCTTCCATCTGGTGGGACACAGGTACTGGTTGCACTCTACTGCTGTGGAGGGGCCTTAACAATACACTGTACTCACCTAGATTATAAACTTGAATCCTAATTTTGCTGATTTATCAGTACATTTCTCTTATGTCATAATACGTATAGCAGAGATAATGCAAAATAATACATTTTCTTTAGCATGATAGAATCCAGAAAATATAATAATCCTTGCATTTGATATAGTGCCTTTGTGTCATTTCAAAGTACAGTGCAGGATTTATTGTAAAGTAACTGTGTTTTGTAGGCGAACACAGCAGTCAATTTGCACGTAGCAATATCCTACTATCAGTCATGAAGTGAATAAACAATTTCATTGGTAGATTGTTGGCTAAGACACTAGGACAAAGTCCATTCACTTTTCAAAAAGATTTAATAAATAAAATGTCAAAAGCTTGTTTTTGAATGAGATATCAATAAGAAATTCAATGGGAAGTTAAGTATAGAACTGTACAATCGTCTTTAAAATATGCAGTGTGACTGGCATCAGTGTGTATATGTAATGTGTGAATAGAATTTGCACAGAAAATATATGTAATTGTAATGATGCTTCAGTTCTAATACAGTATATAGTTGAGGCCACATAAATACACCTGTAATAAATGTTCCATTTCTTGTTTTATTCACAACTTTTAAAACTGAACATAAAATTTGAACGTAACTATTGTCTTTAAATCAAATAACATAGTTGATCACACATTATCAATGGGTGCTCAATAAAATAGAGAATAGTGTTTGAAAGTCAGCCTTAAAGTGGAAAGTCCAGGCTTCCAGGTTAGGGAATTTTTATAGTATTCAATTGCCTCTTGTGGAATAAATATTGTAAAACATTGTAAAGTTAGTATAAAGCTTCCAAGGTCCCTGGAAAGTTTGGAGAACTTGTTTCCAAAAAGCTGAACTCTGTAGAGTGCTGGTATTTTATAGAGTGGTTCAGTATTTAAATTTTTTTTGATTGTGGCCCAACAGTAGTGCTCTCAGCAGATGTCTAACTGTAAATGGGATAATTTGTACAGTAATTGGGACAAAACACCATGCTTGATTGTGCTCTGGTTAACATCTTTGATTTTTGCTATATCTATTATCTTGTTGGTGAGGATTTTAAACTTAGATTTTGGAGTGGGAACAACAGGTCTTTGAAGAAACAGTTTGATGAATT